GTTGAACTTAAGAAATGAGTGCTTTTTTTGCTTAATACTGCCTCACTGGAATTTTTTTTTATGCGGTTTTGTCTGAATTTATGCGTTTTGAAAATGCCGAAACGCATTCTCTGTTTTTTTGTATTGAAGTAAAGAACTTGTTTATGCGGTTTTTTTTTTATTCGGCTTTCGGAGGAACGCATGTACCGCATAAAAAAAGACATACCTTAGGTCTTTGTTTTATTATGAAACATTTATTTACAGCAACAGTATAATCGATTCTCTTCTCTCTCTTCTCAAAATTGGTACTTTCTCTGCACTTTAAACTAAAAAATTTTATATCAAAAAATCGACATATCTATTCCCAATTTTATTAGCTTTCGTTAAAAAATAAATAGTCAAATTGTTTGAAAAATGAAAGCTCTGGAGCTTTTCTACCCTCACTGTAAACCAAAATTTTCCAGAGACAGAGACAATCAGAAAGAGGTTAGTAAAATCTAGAGGTATTTGGTTTATATGGTTTGGTCGTGACTAATATTGATATATGATTGGAAGCGAGTGGTTTCAAACCACTAATATTGATTCATGATTTCTTCATGCAGCTCCTTAACGAAGTAGAGACAGAACTTTTTACCATCGGGCCTTTCAGTTTGTACGTGAGCATTCTTGCTTTCTTTGTCCACCGTTGGCTGTCGAATAAAAGGTTCTTTCACTGCGGATCGTTATCATCTATAAGTGCAACATATTCGAGTTAGCGCAGTCCATTTCCCCATAAAGCTCGTATGATCCGTGGTTCCATCTTCTACGGAGCCCATAACCAATGTGCGAAAAGGTCAATAGATCTTTCGTAGAATAGATTTCTTCAATATATTCAAACCCTTTTCATTTCTGTTCCATATTAACGGGCGGTTATAGGTTAGGACATTGATGGAGCATGACTTCTGTTAATCGGGGGCCCGCTCTGGTTTTCAGTTGCCTACCTTTCGGGACTTGAATCGTATCGCTTCAATTCTGCCACCATACATAAATATCTTTAAATTAAAGTTCTTTGGCTCTCAATTTTTTCAAATCCACTTACATACATAATAAAATTTGTTAATGGCCCATTAACAACTTAAATTTTATTCAAAACACACCTGCTTTAAGAAAGTATTGACGTAAATAACATCAAGTTTCTTCATACATAAAAGTCGTTCTACACTTTGCTGTGAACTTAAAAATTTGCATAGATTATCGAAATTAAAAAAAAAAAAAGATAGAACTACTTAACACGTTTTGTCTTGTTAGCAATTGTTTTATTTCGTATCTGACACGCGTTGAAATATTTATTTATTTTACTCATGAATATGGCGGTACATATAAACTGTTATATGTAGATATGTAAAAGATTACGTAAAGAATTCTAATGGCTCAGCGACGGCGGCTGATATAATTACATAATTTGGAAGGAAAGCATAATTCCATAAATATGTATACAAGCACATGCATATTAGGGTGGTCCTTAAAAGTATTAACATCTAAAATTTGGTTATCTAGTCGCGTACATAATAAAGACATCCAAGAAAATGTTAAACTAATTGTATGGGTCGTTGCCAGGCCTTGAAAATATTTAAATTAACCAATTTGATATATTTATTTTGTTATCATAGAAAAACGTGAGTTTCTTGGTATTTTTCCAAGACAACTGTTTGTGAACCAGTGTTATTTAGTTTTGGGGAATAATTTTACAAATTTGACACTTATTTTGAAACAAACGTTATCAAATAACAGTCTTTGAAGCTTAGTATTACATGTAATGAATTAATTTTTAGTAATACATCAAATTTTTTGAAATTTTCAAATTTTCATAGGAGTCCTTATCAAAAAAAAAAAAACTAAGATTTGAAGCAAAATATATATCTAGCAATGTGTTTTACAACTAATTGCTTTAATTTAAAATACTTACAGGGATACCACTGTCGAAAAAAATAGTTATCATCCACTTGAAAAAAAATCTACCAAATCTGGAAAATATCTACCAATTACCTTTTTTGAGTCATTTTAATAAAAACTATATTTGTGTTTTTTTTTTTTTTTTTTTTTTTGTATAAGAATTTATTTGCGCTTTACTAAACTCATAAAAATCAAGCACTCAAGCTATATACCAGGGTTGTTGCGAATATTCGCATTCGCAACCGCGGTGCTTCCGCATTAATTTTAACATTCGCATTCGCTTTCGCATTCGCAATAATCAATGCGGATCTTTTCCGAATATCTTTCATATGATATCAAATTTGCTTAATTTGGATTAGCGCTTTGTTTATTATCAGGAAATGACTTTTATTTCGGAATAAAAAATATTTGGCCAAGTTTAACTCGTAAAAAATAACTGTTATTTTCGGTACCTGAAATGTTGTGAAAGTGCACTGGTAAAACGTATATCTGGCCAGTCACAGAAGAAAGGATTAAAAATGAATTATAAAAACTAAAACCGAAAAACGCTGATGATGTTACAAAGTAATTTTCAAATGAATAATATGTATGTATGTTTTTCTGGCTCTCAATATAATATTTTCTTCTTTTCCCTGTGCCTGTCCAAGTGAATCATAACAAATAATAATAGCAAATTTTTCGTGTTGTCTAATGAATAGTCATTATATACTTCTTATATATGAAATTTTTTTGTTCTTACTCACTAGTATCTTTTTCAAATCGATCTTTATTTTTGGTGTGACTAAAACAAACGCTTCCCCGATATCTACAAGAAGTATATATGTATACAAAGTTCTTGAAGAAAAATTATGTACCTACTCAAATAAACGGACTATGTACATTAGACCGTACCGCCTTACAAGCAAACAAAAAAGCAGGGACGGATAATAATCTTATTTTTTTTTTATTTGAACCAAAAAAAATCGACAAGCTGTAATCGTCGTAAAACAGTTTTAACAATACTGACGTATTTGTATTCGTACGTCGGTTGCTCACACTTTTTATTTGTTCGTTTTATCGTTTATTATATCGATAAGTTCCGAAAATATCGATACCAAAATCGATAACATCATCGATAAAAATTTTGATAACAAAACCGATAAAATGTCGATTATTATACCAAGAATTCCGAAAATCTCTAAAATCCCGAAATAGTCCCCAGATTGAGTATTTGTCCATTTTCACTATAATTACCTTTATTTTAATCTTTTTTCCTCTATCTTCATCTTTACTTTTACCGGTATTCTCATCCTCAGCCTCATATTTTTCTTTGTATTTATCTTTGTTTTTACTTTTATGTTTATATATTCTTCATCTACATATTCCTCTTCACCTTTGTCTTTTATAAATATTCAAATGCCGAAATACCTATGTACACACACATACTTTTTGTCTCCTTCTCTCACTTCCAGCGCATGCACGTGCTTGCAAAATGATGACGAAGTGATTTGGTATGGAAAATCATTTATGCCCATATATTTGAATAAAATAAACATACTTAGAGGATATCAACCAATACTTCCCATATACCAAATGAAAGGAAAAATCTTAAATTTTTGATTAAATGAAACAAAAGCAAAATCATTCGAGCGATTTTCGAGAATTTTGTAATAAAAAAAAAATGTTAATTTTTTCAACAATTTTTTGCCTTAAAATGCTTGATATTTGTTGAATTTATCCCCCCTATTCTAGAACCCGAATTTTCGTAATTCGTAATTCGCAACCCTTGCCGAAACATGTGCAGCATTGCCAGCTATCAGTTGTTTTTCGAAGATAGCTGAATAAAGGAAAACAAAGTCGAAAGGAATTTAAAAAAAAAACACTCACCATGTGCTTGTTTATTGTAAAATTGGTTAATTTTACATATTTTGAGGAAAATTATGGATTGTGATGTATTTGCAATTAAAGCAGCAGAGTAAGCGGGCGCTATGCCAATGGATTCACAAAGGTATGCGGAGCTGTCGGGCATAGTAACCATGGGCGCATCTACGTGTTACTCGTTCGTTTTTAGGCATGCCATTGTTACGCATTTCGAAAGTTCGAAAATACGATTCGAATTGCAGCATACTATTTCTACGATTCGTAGCAAAATCCGAATACGAAACAGTTGCAGAATAGGGGTGTATATAAAATTTATATACGATAATATTTGTACTGGTCCAAAGAACCTATATCTAGAAAATGAAATATATGTATACCTGCAAATCATAAGCTGCCGGCGCACTTTAAAGGCTCAAAATTGACGCCAAATTAAGCCGATACATACCTTTGTTTCTACGATAGATACCGAATCGGTTACTTACAGAAATCTATCTGTCGATAGGTTTGGAATTTTGTCTTTGAATCGCCACACTTTTCTTCGAAATCGCTTCACTAGTTCTCGTGTAATAAGATTTTTCGTGAAGCTCTAAAAATTACAAATACAACATTTGAGCATAGTCTCCATATCGAAACGTTGGATGTAACTAGGGTCCTTTTCAACATTTTTCATGGCAACTATGTAAAGAGTTCTACTGGAATAATCAAAAGACTTTCTTAGCAAACGTGTAATGATTTTGGTGAGCCTAAATTTACCGACATTGGGGAGGTGGGAACTGAGATCGGACAAAAAAATTGTTTAACAAGTTCTACTGGAATAATCAAAATAGTACTTTCTTAGCAAAAGTGTAATGATTTTTAGTAAGCTTAAATTTTCTGACATAGGGATAATAAGAACTGAGATATGGTGAGTAGTAAAGCAGCGTACTTGAGGTCAATGAACTTTGGCATAAAAAAAAATACTCTCATCGAGGTTAAACTGGCTATTTTTGGAAAAGAAAAAACTAAGAAAAGTTTCCCATGTTGAAGGGAACTTGAATTTTTTCCTTCTACATATATTTATTATTTGTGAACTACGACGTAAACCATAACATATCAATGCAAGTATCACTCTCTCGTAGTTGTGGCTTCGATTGGCAACTATACATATGTACATATATTATCTATATATTAAAATTAATCCAATAATTTATAAATATATTGAAAATTTGTTCTCTTGTTTTTTTTTTTAGATGCACCTGTAATATTAACATTGCCGCATATGTTGGGTGCCTCAAACGAATACACAAGGATGATACGTGGTCTGCGACCGGACGCGAAGAAGCATCAAACCTTTGTAGATGTACAACATGTAAGACCGATAAATGACAAGAAAAAAATGTTTAATACAATGAACTAAAATAAAGTCAAACAAAGTAAAATTTAGTAAAATCAATTGAAGTAAAATGAAAAATGAAAAACTTACACTTATACTTACTTGCAACAGAATCCCTATTCGCTCTCATCTAATTGCAAACATTCCAATTTCTTCACCAATTTCAGCTCACTGGTACCCCGCTGCAGGGTGGCAAACGCGTTCAATTCAACATGTTCTTGAAGACTATTAACCGCATCTCCATAACCGAAAACTTAACCACTGTGTTAATGCCGGCGATTTGGGTTGAAGAGGTAACGACGAAATGATTTATTTTTTTTTTCTCCCTCATATTCTCTACACTTGTCTGATCTCTTTGCGGTTTGTCAATTCCAGGGCATTCAACTGAATAGCGAAATGGTGGCTTTTTTCAAAAAGAAACTTATAAACTCGCTCAAGACCCTCAATATCATTCATTGGGCATCGTTGTGTGGCGGTATCGGCGTTGCAGCTATATGTCTAATATATTATGTTATACAACGCCGAAAGCCGGAAGCGGAAGTCGCACCGCTCAAATAATTAGATTTTAGTCAGTTGATGTTTGTTATGTATGCATACGATATATTTAACATCGATATATAACATTTATTATTCATTATTTAATTTTATTTACAACTACATATTTTTAAAATACCCTTTAACCTTATTATTTGTTATGTTTTGTTTAAGTATATGTACAGGCATGCGTATGTACATATGTATTAATGTACTACATAATATTTAATATATGTATATGTAAATATGGTTGTTTCTTTGTAAATATTTCAAATATATGTATGTATATATGTAAATGTGATTGTAGCACATGTATTGTGATTTAGTATCATACGAATTAAAAAAAAATTATGAAACCAAATATAAAATACTTTCTTATTTTGATAGGCGATTTATTGCATTAGCAAAGAGCAAAGAGATTAGTACAGATGATATTATCCATATAGTAAAGAAGTTCAAGATAAAAATTGGTGGAAATAATTTATTATCCGAGGGTGTAACCAAAAAGACTCCGTTGAATACATGGGTCAATTTTTCGCCCTATTAGTAAATAAGAGCCTTCAGTTGGGAATAGTTCCGACAGAATGAAAAACTTCGGCCATTGTCCCTATAAAAAAAAAGGTCAAAAACACCATAAAATCGGAGGAGCTCAGGCCAATAAACACCCTTCCCAACTTAGAAAAAATACTGGAAACGGTTGTAAAAAATCAACTATTAAACTATATTGAGTCAAATAAAATACTCATTAAGGAGCAATCAGGTTTTTAGGCTAACCACTCATGCGAAACAGCTCTAAACTTGATCTTATCACAATGGAAGGAGGACCTGAACTCCAAGAAAACTATCTTGGCGATGTTTTTTGGACCTTAAGAGAGCCTTCGAGACAATCGACAGGGAAATAATGCTAAAAAAAACTCGAATATATTATAGTATAGATAACATCGAACTTACATGGTTCCGTAGTTTTCTTTCTGATAGAAAGCAACAAACGGTGATTGACACAGCTCTATCCACAAAGGTAGCAGTAGATATTGGTCTACCACAAGGGTCGGTGTTAGCTCCAATACTCTTTAATATTTATATCAACGACATAAACTCTAGAGCAGCTAACGTTAGCTCCCACGATTGAGAGAATACAAAGGTTGCGCCGATCTCGGACCACTATTCCTCTCTTAACGAATTTGACAGAATCGTTGTTTGCATGACGTCACACTTGTGCAACTTGTTTACGTTTTCCTTGCAACATTTTTTCTTCTTCTTCCATTCTTGCTCACGTTTTGGCATTCCGCTCTCGCAATTGCACCAGTGTGACGTCACACAAAAGTTATTCTCAAAAATCCTCTCTGATCGGCGCAATCTTGTATTCTATCATTCTTGGTTAGCTCCGATAATTACAGTTTAAAAATTAAAGATGAAGTAATTGAGAAAGTGAGAATCATTAAATATCTATTTAGGTATATATATCGATGATAAGTCAAAATTTGAGGAACATATTGACTACACAGTAGCTAAAATTGGTAAAAAAAAATTCATCTCATGAAAAGATCATGTAAGTACTTAGGAAGGAGGTATAAGACTCTGGTCTACAGATCTATAGTTGAACCACATTTCATATACTGTCCAACAATCTTTTTTATAGCAAGCGACACACAAATAGATAAGCTTCAAAAAATGCAAAATAGGGCTATGCGATTTATCTTGAACAAGCGGTACGACACAGCCATACAGAAAAAACAGCAAAATTATGAAATTTGTGTTTAACATAAAACAAGGTAGACTCCTAGATTATCTGAGTGATATCCTACGATATAATAGTGAAACCCATTCGTATTTACTCAGTGGAAATAATAGCTTCAGGCTGCCGCTGTATAAAACGGAAATAGATAAGTAGAATATCTTTTATAAGGGATTAAAATGTTATAATGAACTTCCAGCTCAAATACAAAATTGTGAAAACGTTGGTACCTTCAAAAGGCTGCTACTTGATCACTGTAGAACATTGGCTATCAGATAGAAAGGTCCGGCATGGGAACTAGTCCTTTCCATCCTTACTAGCTGGATGACGCTGGATCTGGATTAGTCCATTCAGATCACCCATAATGTATGAAATAAGAAGGTCGGCATGGAAACTAGTCCTTTCCGTCCGATCAAATAGCGCGACTCTGGATTTCGTCCATTCAGATCGCCTGCCGGTAGAGAAGTTTATAAGAAGCCGCTTGGAAACTAGTCCTTTCCAACCGCTCAGTTGTGGCGGCTCTGGAAATTACACTCTTAGACCGCATCTCGTACGTGATATATTTACGGTACTGCTTGGAATCCCGTCCATTCCAAAAGCATCGAGGATATGCTATCTTAGTTAAATATATGTACATACTATTATATAGCTTAGAAGGAAAAGTATAACAGGTTAACTTATTTTAAGCATTAAATTTAACTTTACTTTAATTATATAGTGCAATATTTACATAATTCAAATGTATATACGTGAATGTATATAGGTCAAATGACTGTAATAAATAAATAAAAAGAAACATGTGTGTTGGTTCTATGGTACCATGAACCTTTGTATAATGTGTCGTTCGTTCATGCTAACATCGGTGTCTTCAATTCGAAGCATCGAATAATGTCCCATTGTTCGATACATCGGGATTTATTCGATGCTTCGAATTGAAGACATCGATACTTCCGATGCATCGGTTAACATCGCACATTCCTAGCATGAACGAACGACACATTTTTGCTTCAAAAATTTATCAAAAACCAGAAATTGCAGCTTAAAATGCTTAGCAACCGTGCCTCTGCAACTATGGGCAATTTATAGCGGCTTTTTCCCTTACTGGATTATCGACTCAAAAATATCAGATTTCCATAACTAACTTCAATCGAAATATTTTACCAAAGCGCCACAATAGCATAATAAGCATTCAAAGTTATATTTGCATATTTCGTCCTACAAATAATTTATTTTATGCAAATATATATACATATATATAGTGACAAACGAATTCATACACAAACAGATATTCTGCCATTGTTTCTTTTAACTTGCTATAAATAAATCGCCTTTATATTAAATATTTATTTAAATGAATATTATCTCGTATAATGTAATTTTTTTCCCATTTAGTGAGGTCATTTCTGAAATTTCTTTATCCTCGTGCCAGCAGTATAAAATTACTAATACTGAGATCGATAACCAAAGAAAACACGACTATTGTTGTAAGAGTATCTGTTTGATAAAGTTATCGGTTTAGATGAATACCACTATTATATTCAAGTTAAATAAAGAAAAAATTTAACTCCATATTCTTATAAGCATTTTTTATTTATTACAATTTATTCCCAATTGAAATTTACAAAGAGAAAGGCTGATTCTCAAATAGCCCAATTCTCAAATTTTGAAAAAGCATCGATGTTGCCAAACAGCAATGTTTCTCCAGTTCTACCCACTAGCGGTTAGGTCCAGCAATAGCCGATTTTGGGATGCCCTATCGCTAAACCGGTTCAAGATTTTTATCTCCATTGCAACAATAATGTTGTAGTGCATTTTCAACGGAGTAATTTATGAGCGTAAAATCTCCAAACGAAAATCGCAGTCTGGTAGCACGCTTTTGACGTTTTGCCTTGACCACTCCGCTCGACAAATCTATTACAAAATAAAATTTCGCCGTTTGCAAAGCGAGTGCGGGCTGCGACGGAGCCGAGCATAAACAAATTTTATCGAAATTACCGCGGAAATCTCAATCAAATTTCCACAAAATTACGCAAAACGTGTTACAGAGTGTTTAAATATTAAGTAAAAAGTGAATGTAACAACTCATCGATCGTTGGGAAGCCGTAAAATTCATACAAAATATTTGCTGTCCCACACGGTGTGTTTTTCGGTGAAATACGAGAAAAGAAGTGTCACAGAGTGAAATTTCCTCCCCTCTGCCGTCTTCGTGTCGTTGCATTCGTATACCTATCGCATTGTAACGAAAAGATTTCTATACTTTAATTTCATTTAATAAGTAGGATCGAAAAATGTGCAGTGTATTTAATTAGTTTCTAAAATTTCCAGTAGACAAGAAAAAAGTGAAAAAGACGAAATTTGGTATGCGACTTCATATCTCGTCGGTATCGGCGATCATAAATCTCAACCACATTCAGTCCGCAAAATCAATTGTGTGGCGCTCCGTCTGTTTCACGAGCGGATGTATGTAACGCGTTAACGAAAACGAAATCTCCGACTACGTTCAGAAAAAAAGGTAGCCAGCTAGTAGCTATTAACGCTTTCTCTGTTAATTATTCTTTATCGGCATGTATGCTTCGAGTGGTTCTTCGTAGGATTTTTATTGGCAGGCTTTAAGAGCTGCCAGCAAATTTAAAACGACATCGGCACTTTGATAGCAGTCAAAAATTTATGGGAAGTGTATGGTAAGAAACACTTAAAATTTTAAATTTTTTTGAAATGTATTTTAATATTAGCCACCTTTATGTGATAATGAGCGGAGTTGACAGATTTTAAGCCATTCTTAATAAAAATTACGCTTCTGTGCTCTCGCTTCCACACACACAGGAGTATGTAAATATTTGTTATGAGCCGTCGGGGAAGGAGATGGCAAAATTGCGTCTTACAGCCCTATTCGCGTGTTGTCGCTGTCGTCAATTGTCATTGGCCCGTAGTCATAGTCAAAATAAAGTCGACTTTAAAGTTAGTTGCAGCTTTTTTGACAGATATCCCATTGAAAATTATGTCAAAAAGCTGCAACTAACTTTAAAGTCGACTTTATTTTGACTATGACTACGGGCCATTATCTTGTCATCAACTTTAGTCATAGGTATGCACAGTCAATAATGACAAGCAAAAAGCGTGTTTTGTATTGAAATAGCTTTTCTTAGTTTACATTTTAATTGTTCTTTTTGACCGCCACTGCAACATACTTGATTTCTTTTAAATAAAATCCACCGCCATAGATTACGAAACGCCGGAAATGTGAGCAATTTTATTATATGAAAATTCGTTTCATTGTATTATGAGTTCGTGTATTAACGGAAGTTGAAAATGTGTATGCACCCCACAAGAGCAGCTGCAATACTATGTGCCGTTTTGTCTCGGAGTTCCCTCAGAAGTCGTCTATGCATAATTTCTTTTT